GCATTTCCGGATCCCTTGGAAAATTGTGATAAACTATTGATTTTCCTGCCTTCTTAGTTTTAGTACTATTGTTATTACAGGTAGAAACAGCACATGTCCGGCCCGGCACTATATGTAAAATATTATATAGATTTTCAAGTCTTTTTTTTGGAAGAATATCCGCTGAATTTTTATCGAATTGATTTGATACTTTATGTATGCAGTCTATATAAATATCAAATTTAATTTATGAAACCTACTTGTGATAAATATTAAAGTCACTCCAAAATAAATTTAAAAAAATAAATTAATTAAATTAATTATAATTTTAAAATAAATTCATATTTTTGAAGTTTAATTTTTTTGGACGTATTATGTCTATTTCATATAACCTCTATATCATTTCTGTCTTTTTCATATAACCTCTAACACACAGCAAACGCATAGAACCAATGATAGTTAACAGGGCGTGGCAAATAGTGTGACGTAGATTGCGGGCAACCAACCCGTAGTGGGCTACAAAAATACAATGAATGTAGCAGTCCTTTTAGATTCTACTGTCCTTGGGTGTAACCCATGTTTATCTATTTTATGTCCCAGAAATACAATTTCCCTCTGTAACCAAGCACATTTTGATGCCAGCTTGTCGTAACCATGCTAACAGACGTTCAAGTCATTTCAAATGAGTTTCCTTGTTTGCTGTATTTATTTATTAATATGTCATCTAAATAACATGTGGTATCTCCCAATCCATTTAATATTTGGTCCATCGTTCGTTGGAATAATGATGGAGCAAATGAGACTCCGAATGGTAAACGTTTGTAGGTATAGTAACCCTTGTGCGTTGCAATAACTAGATATTTTCTTGAATCGGAATGAACGGGTAGTTGTAAGTAAGTCTTTTAAGTCTATTTGTGAAAAGTGTTTTCCAACACTCAGTTTATCTTAGTAATCTCCACAAAACCGGACATTTCCATTTGAATTGTCAATGCAATGGAAGATATCCTTGTTGAATTATCTTTGTTGTCCCTGAAATACAAATTACTACAGACGGGAGATTTAAATATAGATTTACAGCGGAAGGACACCAATGCACAGAGATTACTGGAATTATTTTGTCGATAAGACTTAAAGCCTACCATCACTGCGGCAACAAGAATTACGGAACGGAGTAGCACACTTATAGACAATATTTACGTAAACTTAAAAACTTATAACAGCGAAGTATTAGTATCAGCTCTTTCTGACCATAACGCTCAAAAAATAACTTTTCCTACAACTGGACTTCCAGAAAACCCAGAAATTAAATTTATAAATAAACGCATTTTTAGTAACGAGATCTTACAAGATATTCATACTGAAATAAAAATGACTGATTGGACTACGATAATGAGCCAAGATAACGCTGAAGTGTCATATAATGAGTTATTGGGAGTCATATACAGCTCAGTTACTAAAAAAACCAACTATAAAATAACTAAAAATAAGTCAAATTTAGAAAACAAAAGATGGCTAACTAAAGAAATAAAATACAAGTAACATTAAACAACACCACATTAAACAACAATTATACGAAGGAATGTTGTAAGGAAAGGTAGATAGAAACTATTATAATATGTACTGTCAATACGTACGTAATGAAATTGAGATTTCAAAAAGAAATATATATTCTAGAGAGATTGATGCAGCCAGCAATAAAATAAAAGCCACCTGGAATATCATAAATACACTCAGGCGAAGTAAAACATAGACGGCTTTTAATTTTTCTGATTTCAAAGATACAAATAGTAACAACAAAGAAATTTTAAATAAAATAAATGTCTATTTTGCTAATATAGGGGTTGAAAATAATATAGAAACAAATATACAGAACACTGTAATCGAATATAGGTATGAAAAGGTCATTTGGGCTCTACTTAATAGATCCCTTCGAAGTAAAATCCACAATTATGTCGCTGAATGACACACATGCTGTGGGTTATGATGAAATTCCAATATTTGTACTAAAGAACCTTTGAGTAGCGTCATCAACTGCTCCTTCAATACAACAATATTTCCGATGAATCTGAAAAAAACTATCGTAAGATCAATCTATAAGAAAGGAAATAAATCAGATTTTACAAATTCCGGCCAATTGCTCTAATTCCGAATATTGCAAAAATTTATGAGAAGCTTGTCCTAAAAAGACTAAAAGATTATGTTATCAAGTACCAAATACTAAACCAGACACAGAACGGTTATATAAAAGCAGTGATGGGCGCTGGGTAAATATCCGGCGGGTAGGTATTTATAAAATGGGTATTTATCTGGGTACTTACCCCGGCTCAGGGTAAATACCCAAACAGTACATATAAAAGTGATACAAGCAAAAATATAACAGATTCGGACAAAAATGTAGAGGAACATGATGGAATGAGCGTTGAAGACGAGGAATTGTCAACGATCGTAGACCACTGCTCATTCTTCATTTTTGCGACGATGATCCGCCCAGTTCCACTTGAGCTTTGCCACAATGTTGACCGCATCATTTACGCCAGTTCTTCGTAGGTCTTCATTTCGTATGTGGTCCCTCAAGGTTACACCCAGCATCGACCTCTCCATCTTTCTTTGCGTTACTTTGAGCGTCCTGGTAATGGCCACCGTTAATGTTAAAGTTGCGGAGCCGTATATCATAACCAAAGGAAGCACGCATTGATTGAAAACCTTTCTTTTCAAATATACGGGAATATCGCTCATGAAGATGTCTCTAAGTTTCCTGTAGGCTGCAGTCCGTCACACCAAAGAAAGGATAGTGTCATGGAACCTATATCAATTAGTGAGGTTCAAAACGCAATCACTGCGTCAAAACATGGAAAGGCATCAGGGATTAATAACATACCATCGAAAGTATTCAAGATAGAAGTATTCGTTATAACCAATATTGATGTTAGAGCTTGGAACAAGATTTGTCCTAAATTTTGTTGATATTTAGCCCGACTCAGTTGCATACTTCAGCATCAGTTTCATCTCTCCAAGACTATCCGAAATAAGTACTATATCGTCCACGTAGCGCAAATTACTTAGGTATTGCCGTCAATGTTTATACCTTTTTGGGTTCAATCCAGTTGTTTAAATGCACTCTCCACGACTGTGATGAACAATTGGGGTTCAACAGGGTTCAACATTATATTGCCTTGTCTTACCCCACGCCCAATGAGTATTCCGTCAGTACTTTCATGCAATTTTACCGTCATTGTAACATTCTTGTAAATGTAATAAATAAATTTTGTGTATCGATAATGGACTCTGCATTCTTGAAGTACTTGCAAAACTGCCATCAACTCAATTTAAATCAAATTTTATAAATACCTCTAAATACCCATCTTGGGTAAATACCTCCGGGTATATATCCAGGGAATTTTCCCTTGAAAATACTCGGGTATTTAACAACACTGTATAAAAGGCAGATCTGTAACAAGAGCAATTTTTCAATTATTAGAAAGAATTCAATCTGGAATGAATAACAATGTTACCAGTTGTATAATGATGGATCTCACAAAAGCATTCGACAGTGTCCATTATGACATCCTATTGCAGAAGTTAGAGGCTATAGGGATAAGGGGAAACTCTCATCTAAACCATTTCATTGGAATGGTTTATATCGTATCTCTCAGAAAGAGAACAGCGAGTGGTCTCCTATGATCAAAGTGGCAGTGAAGTCACTTCAAACTGGACGAAGGTTCAACGAGGCGTCCCACAAGGATTAATATTGGGACCTTTCCTTTTTATCTTATATATTAATGATCTTCCAGAAGTAATAGATGATTTACTCATCCTTTTTGCGGATGATTCAACTATAGTATTAACCACAAAAACCGAACAACAAATGTCAGAACTGGTACAGCTTAGCCTAAGTAAACTGCAAAATTGGTTTTCAAATAACAACTTACAACTAAATTTACAAAAACAAACGTTATGACAACAGGAATTACTACAAAAAAACTGAATTAGATCTCACATTCAATGGTACAAAACTTGCCTGCAAGGAAGAGGTTGTGTTTCTGGGAGTTCTTGAAGATTGATCAGCACCTATCATGGAAACAACATATCAAAGATCTCTCCTTGAAGATAAATAAAACGTGTTATGCGCTATGGACTATTTCGCGATTGGTGAGTGTGAGTGTGGCTCTAAGTGCATATTACGCGTGTGTAGAGTCGCGTCTGAGATATGGCGTAATATTCTGGGCCCATTCGACGGACTTTGATCGCGTGTTTATAACCCAAAAAAAATGTTTCAGAGCAGACTTTAGACTGAAACCCAGAGATTCATGTAAACCTATATTCGAACATTACAAAATCTTAACATTACCATCTTTATTAATTTTAGAAACTGTTATATTTGTGAAAAATAATTATTCATTCTTCTCGAAATACGAGCAGAAACATTCGTATTTAACGCGGGGCGTTGAGCGGTCTTATATAGTGGCACCGAACACCCAGTATAGTAGAATACAAAAGAGTGCAATTTGTTTTTGTTTTAAGGTGTACAACCATATTCCAGATGATTTAAAAACGAAACCGACTATTTATCTCAAAAAATACATAAAAGAATATCTGTATAAAATTTATATACAGTAAATGTTGTTTTTGTGAAAAATTCTAGAACTTTGCAACATACAATGTTTTTCTTTTATGTGACGCTTTCCATGCAGTAGGCATTTATGGAAATAATATATATTATTTTTATTATTGTGAAAGTTTTTGTGTCTAAAGTAATCGTTTGTAATTTTTAGTCCATTATTACTGCACAAGTTAACCAGTCGTTCTTTATTCTCGTTAATGTATTCACCATGTTGTCCTACAGTAGGATCATACACCTTGTTGGTGCATTTCGACATTACTTATTTCATTTATCGTCTAACTAATAGTGTTTATTCAAAACTTTATTTTTTATTACAAGTACCCATTGTTTGTAAATAAAATGAATAAATTAAATGAAGGATTTAAATGACTCGAAATAATTATTACTTTGTTAATTACAGGTACGTATTAATCGGCGGAAAAGCTAATGGGAGTATAAAAGGAAAATTCGCGACCACCATAGAATTCGACACCCCCAAATTAAGTGAGGATTCAATATTTTCCGTTGATATATTTAAGACTCCTAAAGAAAGTTTAAGTATTTATGAAGATTACGTTAAAAGTGGTATAAAAGGAGCTGCTGCACCTTCAAAGAAAGATATGGATATTTATAACTCATATTTATCATACAAATAATTATCTTGTTACAATATAATGTAAGCAAATAAATTTATATAGACGATTTTAAATTAAAGCTAGTGTTTTCAATTCTAATTCCATAAATTCCAAGCTCTTTATGTGGTTCTTCCGGTTTAAACACTTGTTTTCCATCAATAGTGTAATCAACGTATTTAATTTCGTTTAAGCATTCCCAACCAAATCTTTGCGCCGCTTTTGCTGTGTATAAACTACAACAATCCATTCTCATTACTTTTAATCCCAACGATAAAGCTAATAACCTACAAAACACAAAATAAACTTTTTTATTGTATTGAAAACAGAGAAAACAAAAAGATTTTTTAAATACCTGGATTGCTCCAAGAGTATTTTAGCCAACCCTTGATTTCTAAATCCTGGATGAACGGACATAAAAGCAACGTAAAGAGCTTCATTTACATCATCATATTTTTCAAATACTTTAGCTTCATCGATGGTTTTTAAAACGAAGGTGGCAATTTTTTCTATTTTTGGATCGATGTTAAAATTGAAATGTTTAATGTTTTTTCTAAGGATTACGTTGCAACTAACGCCGGCGATTTTTCCGGTTTTATCGGTTGCTAAAACTGAAACGTTTTCTTTCAAAGCTTCCGTACAAAAATCTTTCAAAAATTTCACAGCTTCCGGACTTTTCGTTAAATTTAAACATTTCGATAAAGGTTCATCGGTGAAATAAAACTTTAATAAATAATCGACAATTTTGGGAATTTCATTACATGGAACAATTTTGATGTGGAAATTATTTATTTCCTTTGGTGAAATCTTAAAGTAATATTTTTTTTATTACTAAACTTAATAATTTATTTTAATTTTTAAACTTACCATTTTTTTAATGAAATTTAACTCTTCACACTTACTACTTAAACTTCTTTATAATTGTTAACAAAATCGATTTATGTTCTTTATATACCCAAAAACCGGATGAATAGATAAAGGTTATAGATTAAAACAGAAAATGCAATAACATAGGAAAGTTTTTAAGATATTCTATTTTTCATTTAAAAACGAGAATCCGAAGAATCAAAGTTCAACCCGAATTGTTTAATTGTTTATCATGTATATTAAAGATTTAAAAACAACCTGTTTGTGGAATCCCATTGGGAGCATTTATGACGTTATTTAGTGGTTAAAGTTCAAATAATTGTTATCAATAAAACGTTTTGTTTTTAAATTATTGTAACAATGATCAAATTATTTTTTTTTGCAATTGAGTAATAAGAGCATAACGATTGAAGCAGCGGGTTGACTGACCACTTACATTCCGTATCAAATAAACAAAATAATTATGGTTCAAAATTTCCTTCCCAAGAAAAACATTATATGAAATAGGATATTATCTTATTTGTACCTATACCTATTAGTATAAGTATGAAGTATGAATTCCAGCAAAACAACACAGAAGGTTGTTTGCACAGGCTTCAGTACCACCAAAAATTTATGGATTATCTAAAAAATTGTCCAACGTATCAGCTGGCGAAATACCTTGCTAAGATTCTGTCTCCTTTTACAGGAAAAATGGAACCATATATCAGAGATTTTATGTATTTTGTGGAATTACGCAAGAGGGGACATACATTTAGAACAACGGTTCTCAAACTTATATCCTTGTGTACCACTAAGGCTATTTTAAAAATCAGGTAGTACCACTGAACAAAAAAAAACAATAATGATAATGCAAATATAAACTATATGACGTTTTTAATAAATTAAGTATTTACACTAAAGCAAGGACTAATAATATATAATAAGTAGAAAATAACAGTGATATATTTATGTAATAATAATGCGTAAACGTAAAGTCAATGCGATGGATGATGCTGCATACTTGAAACAAGTGTAGAAATATTAGGCTCAATTGTAAACAATTTTAACCGTAAATTTGGGTCTAAGTTTAATAATTTATTTCGAAATTTATTTTTTACGATAAGCATTGCAGAAAATCCAGTTTCACAGAGGTAGGTAGTTGTAAATGGAATTAGGAATGCTAATGCTTTTTTGCTAAGCGAAGGATATTCATTTTTAATTTTTAACCAAAATTCATCCAACTCCAATTGGGTAAATGCTATTTTCAAGTCACCATCACAAGATAATTCTAATAAAGATTCCTTTTCATTTATAGATAAGATGTTGAACGAAGATTCATTTGGAACAAATGGGTTTCGAAACCAAAGGAACTGAGAATGATCTTCTTTAAAATAGTGCTCAAAAGAATCAATTAACATTTGACAATGGCGTTTTATATTATCAATAAAATTTTCTCCTATGTTTACGTTGTGTTCAGTCACAAAATTTTCTAAACTAGGAAATGATTGCAAGTTTTCTTTGGATATATTATTGATTATCATTTCGCATTTCTTGACAAATGCCCGAATTTTATCATTTAAACAAAATCGGTTTATTGCTTTTCCTTGCAAACTTAAGTTTAATATATTAAGGCGACTGAAAGTATCTCCGATTAATACGCCAGTGTTAATAGCCACCTCTCATCGTTCAATCGATCACACAGTTCAAAATTTGTTTCCATAAGAAACATTTGCACTTCAGAATTTAATTCAAATAACCTATTTAACATTTTTCCCCGTGAAAGCCATCTGACCTCTGTATGTAGTAATAATTGAATATGGTCACTGCCCAGTTCTGAACACAGTTTTGAAAATAACCGAGAGTTCAGTGCACGTGATTTTATATAATTTACTATTTTAACTGCTTCTTGAAGAACATTTTTAAATTCATCAGGAATCCGCTTTACAACGAGAGCTTCTCTGTGAATTGCACAATGGGTAAAAATACAATTTTCTGTAACTCCTTTAACTTTACTAACAACACCTCCATACTTTCCAGTCATAGTTCGAGCACCATCAGAACAAAAACCCACACATTTCTTCCAATCGAGGCTATTTCTTCAAAAAATTCGTTCAAATTCTTAAATATTTCGTCTGCAGTAGTATGGGTTGATAATGTCGTACAAAATAAGTAATCTTCCTTAATTTCGGTATTAAATAAGTACCGTACATAAACCATAAGTTGGGCATAATTTGTAACATCCGTGCTTTCATCAAGTTGAATGGCAAAAAAATCACTACTTCTTATTCTATCTATTAATATGTTCTTCACGTTTGATGCCATAGCATCTACCCTACGCCGAACTTGCTTAGCAGCGTTTTCGCCCAAAATGCAATTCACCATATCTTTTGCAGCAGGTAACAACAATTCTTCACCTATTGTATGGGCTTTTCCACACTGTGCTATTCTTAGGCTGGCTAAAAAGGACGCTTGCACACCTTTTTGAGTACTGCTCGTAAAAGAAGACATTATCTTTTTTGAAATTTTCATTTCATTCAATTTGCGAAGGAAATATTCTTTAGGTTTGTTTTCTAATGTCGAATGTTTTGTTGTAAGATGGCGTTTCAATAACGACGGTTTCATACATTGATTTGATAGAATTTCAAAGCAGACTACACATTGAGGACGAGGTTCATTTTTGACCTCCGTAACGGTGAATCCAATACTAATGTAGTTAGCATCATATTTTCTAATAACTTTTCTTATCTTCGAAGGAATTTCTTCTGTATCTACACATTCAGTCCCTGAAGTAGATTCCGCTGATACTTCTACGCACGGTTGTTTTTCAGAAGCTTTTTTGAGCCACTTATCCATGTTGACGTGAAAATACAAGCAAACTAAATATAAATATAACAATTTGTAAATAACAACACTTTCCAACAATACACGCTAACAATATTGCCCAATAAAATAACAAACTTTATTGACACGCTGTAGTACCGTATTTAGAAATTGGGGATTCACTCACTCGCTGACAGCGTTGCCAACCTACAAATTCAAAACTCGGTAGATCCGGTCGTGAAATATCGGTAGATGTCGGGAAAAATCGGTAGGTTTAAAAAATATTGGACAAAAATTGTTATAAAAAGATAAAACAAAATATTAATTTTCTTATTTATATAATAATTAAATAAAATTTCTGGACTTAATCGATGTTAATTATTTATAGGTTTTTATTTCTATTTTAAAGAAGTAGTTCTAAGTAGTTCTTACTTGTAAGTTACCACATGTTTAAACACGAAATAAAAAGAATAAAGTAATAGAACGTGAATTTCACCGGGCACATAAAAGGATAAATTGGGAATTGCCATAAGGTGAGAATTCTGTAATATCGGTAAGTAAGTAAGATGAGTTGCATATTGCATAACAAATCAAATGTATTTTTCTTTTTTGATTTCAATCTATTATTTAAAAATAAATGCATACATATAAATATGTGACTAAAATAAAAAACTTTAAAATCGGTAGATGTGATGACAAATCGGTAGATAGGTAGATTACTTTCTAATTCGGTAGATCTACCGATAAATCGGTAGGGTTGGCAACGCTGCTCGCTGAGTATTGGGACGGTTGATATATGCCTATATTCACGAACCTAAAATCCGATTATCTTTTATGTTTTTTATTTTGCTATTGAGTTTGTTAGGACATTATATTTTTTTATTTGAGGGAAAAGAAAATTATACTCTAGAAATAATTTAACGTTGGCTTGCGTACCACTTGAGAACTTCTCGCGTACCATCAGTGGTACGCGTACCATAGTTTGAGAACCACTGACTTAGAACTTAGATTTTCAGATATTTCTTATTTAAATCTTAAGAATGTGATACTAAAATATTAAAGCGAAATTCCAAGTATTTTTGAGGTAATACCGCTTTTTGAAGCTCGGAAAGAACAATTGGCGATTTCATTTTATGAACAAACGGAAGGTTCGGGTTCGCTCCCGAGAAAAACAAGTAGTAATCAAGCCCATTAATGTTTGAAAATAATCCCTGCAAGAAGCTTCTTAACTTTACCACATAAAAAAGAAACCGATATTTTATGTACTACATAGCATAACCAAAAAGGACGAAAGCCTCCGAAGATGGCGTAGATCGCCGAAACGCGTCAGGCAGAGTGTAAAACTTAATATATCAATAAAAGCATAAATATACGTTTAATTATTTTCATATTTAATGAATGTTTGAAACCTAAGCATCACTTTTTATTGCATAACAAACGTATTATTGAGAAAGTTGGGCCAATACGTCACTTATCTTCAATATTATCAATATATTCCTTCAATATTATTAGATCACGTAAAAATCTTCCTTATACATTGGTAGTTAGAAGTCAGATGAAATGTTGTTACAGGTATTTTGCAAAAATTGGCTTGAATGATAGTATCACAGTTGGCCAAACGAAATGTGGTCTACATTCCCAAATATTGACATACCTCCTGAAATATTGGAGAATTATCATTGTACTGCTTATTATGAAGTTAATGGAGTGCGTTACTTTACAGTATGTGTACTTCTCTATAAACTACAAGATGATACTCCCAAGTTTGAACAGATATCTGAAATACTAGTAGAGAAGAATGATTTGAACTATAATTGTTATTTAATATGCAAAAAAATTAAAACAATCGAGTTTAGTTCACATTATAGAGCATGGAAAGTGGAATGTACGGATTGTTACCATTTAAAACATTTTAGTGACTTTAAGTCGATGTCTACAGTACTGCATATATTAAATTTTGGTTCATTTATTTCTGTCAAATAACAGAGTCATTAAATAAGCTCAGTTTAAGTTAGATTGCTTAAGAAGTTTGTTAAGTGTTATATATTACTAATTCTACAAACTATTTGAATACTAAGTATTATCGTAAATGATACCAGTGTTTGTATTGTATGTAACTGTCGTTTTTATTTCATACGGAGCAACATAACAATGCGCAACTTATTTGTTATTCTGCATTTTATCGAAAAACGGTTTTTTAGTAAAATTATTTTTCAATTCGATGTTACATTAACATTTACCTTAAAAAATATATCGTCTGTGAAGTTCTAATACCTTGTAACCCTAAAAACATTTTTTTTCAGTAGGCATAAAAGACGTTTTATATTAAACTGGGAAAGTATTTGTTTGTATGTTTTGAAACTGTCAGTTACACAAGGGCTTAGATACAAACATATGATTTTTAATTTTTTAGTAAATATTGTATATTAAAATTTGCAGTGGCTTACGAGTGATTAGCTTTAGATTTTTGTCAAATTTGTGGGTTAGGATATATTATATTATTTTTACAGAAATAAAACACTATTTAGGAAAAACTACTTTTATTACGAATCAATAAATTCTCTAAAAAATTTTACTCTGAATCATGTTTTAAGCTGTCATAAAAACTATGACAGTCAGTAGGTATTACTGACTTTAACAGCTGCAAATGTTGCCATTTTTGAAATTTTATTTTTCGTTTCTCTTTATACATTTGTGGCCATTCTACCATTTGAGAAACAGGTTTTTGTCGTTGTGGAAGTTCTCGCCATTCATCATCAAAATCCAATTTGTAATAAATGTTTCCATTCGGCAAATATTGGAGAGCTCTAATATCGGTGACCACAGGATCATTTGTGACCTTAAAGGGAAAATGACAGGCAGTTATAAAGAATGTTTCATAGTATTACTAATTTTTACCTTTCCAGGTCTAATAGATGCATATCTTTGATATTTCTTGATTGAGTAATCTTTAAAATTAAAATATTGCATACATTTAACTTCATATGGAAAGGGCTTCATTCTTGCTTCCTTTGTTATTCGTAGATAATCACTAGGTAAATGAATGTCTCGTCCTTTTAATTTCCTTTCGATGCAGCTGTGAACTGAGTCGCATTCCATTTGTGTGTGTCCAACTTCGAGAAATTTTTGAATAATTTCTATGTTATTATTTACAGAATAGTTTAATAATGCATTTGCTATAATATTATTTCTATTTTGGTAAGTACATCCATCACTGTAAATTATAATTGGTCCAGATTCATTCTGACAGTCTGTTGTTAGGTATTCCATAATGCAAGAAGCAAAAGTCGATGCAGTCATATCTGCTTCAGTTTCACTAAACCAAAAACACTTTGCCTCATGCGTTACTACATTATAAACTGTAAAATTGTGGCAACACAGTTTTAACTTAAAAAATATTGTGCTGGCTTGGACATACGGACACACTTTTACAGCTTGTAAATCCATTGTTAAAACCCGACCTTTTTTGTTCATTTTTGCTTCTTCCTTATCTCTCTTTTTTTCTTCACGAGCCCTTTCTTTTTTACGTCTGTGCGTATTCCATTCTTTGTCTGATAATTGACCAACTTCATGTTTTGTGCACAAATCACATTTATCCTTTTTAATGGGGTGAATTGACAAGTTCATAGAATAAAACATTTTGCTAAAAATTGTTCTCGACAGGGTTACTTTGTTTTCTTCTTTGCACTTAATTTCGTATAAC